GGCCATAGGAAACTCAATGGTAAATTCTAAATTGTTGAATTCCTGCTTCCCTAATTATTTTACACCAAAAGTCATGGGAAACTATTTGTAGAGGACTCAAATATGTATCGAAAACAACTGTTAAAATTATTCTACGACTTAAACGTATTCCAAAATTTTGCTAAAATATAATACATTTTTCTGTGAAAAAATGTGTATTACGTGTTGCGTTTTGTCGTATTATTGTTTCTGATATTTGACAATATTTAAATCAATTATATTATATTTATCTATGATTTAAATGTGATCGCTAACATCCATTAGTGGATTTGCATCTGAAGAAGAAGAAGATGATGATTTAAATGACCAAAATTTTGTGATTTATTGTTTAAAAAAAATTAAGTTGATTAAAAAATGTACTCAGTTGAGGAGAAAAAAGCAATAATAAAAATGTTTTATTCATGTTTTATTATAACATTTGTTATAGTTTTATGTTTAGAAATAATCATATATTATTATTAGGAATAAAGATCACAGTAACAGTATATTGGAATTAATTGAATTGTTGTATAACTTAACTTAACATGGAATTAAATTTTAGTGAATTAGAATATCTTACGGTAAATAAAGATCCGGTAGTGGCAGGAAAAGGTTCGTGCTATTGCCTGAATACAACATTATGCGATTTTTCGTCAACTGAGTACATTTCATTATATTGATCGATTTGTAAACAATATAATTTATTGTTCACAAAGTAATAATGTTCAGTAGTAGTAGTATTTAGTAAAATTCATTGTTTATAATTTAATTATAAAATAAAAAAATTGACAATTCAAATTGTCAAACATCTGACATTAATATGATAAAACACAAACGTCCTAATATATATTCTTGCATTACGTGTGGCCTAACTTTTAGGGGTGGTCTGAAAAATGTATCACATTTTTTCAAAATTTTGAAGTACATTTGATTCGTAGAACGGTTTTAACATTTGTTTTTAATTCAGAATTTAGTCCTCTACAAATAGTTTTTTATGACTTTTGATCTAAAATAATTAGGGAAGCAGCAATTTAACAATTTAAAATTTCCCATTGAGTTTCCTATGGTCCGTTTGACGATTCACCACCCGGTATATATATATATATATATATATATATATATATATATATATATATATATATATATATATATATATTGTATAGAATGATTGTTTTTGATGAACAGTTTAAATTTTCTTTCTAGGAGCCGGTTCTTTACCGGAATTTCAAATAGTGCTTTCTTCATTTGGCTCAAACATGTTTCTTTCATGTGTTGATCAAGATGATCAATTTTCAGTCTATTACTGTTTGTATGAGTACATTATCCAAGAATACAGGTGGTATGACTTGTGGCGATTGGCGAATGATGTTTCGGATGATTTTTTTTTATTTAGGTACTTGTAACTCCCCATCTCGTGTACCAATTATTAATTATATTAAGGCGATGTTGTAGGTCTTGTGAGACTTATATGGGATCTTAGTTTACAGCTACTATCGTAACTTGGTCAGCAAAGAAGGCGATTGTGATATTATTAATTTGTGATATACTGACTGTGGAATGAGTGAAAAGTAGCTGCCCGATAACATTAGAGGGACTAGAGGAGTTGAGTGGATATATTAAATTTCTGAAATTTAAACTTCTGTGTACTCCAGTCGTCAGAGATGAAAAAGCCACTGAACTTCTAAAAATCATACGAACAAACTGAATTTTCACGAGCATATTAGTTTTGGGACCCAAAAAAAATGCAAAAGAGTTTGACACTTTTACCCCCGGTTTCCTCCTCAAACCCCCTTGACAAAAATGTCTGTAAGCATTTTTTGTATAAAATGAACCGGTCTCTTAGAAACAACGTTTGAAACGACCGTCGATTTTGCATGTCAGTTATGCGCGGGAAATCAATGTTCAATAAAATTTGTATCAGCTCGACAGTAAAAATGCAATATCTTTTGATTCAAGTGACCTATCGACAAAAATCAAGATGCGTTATAAAGGTAAAGAGTTCGGCTTTCGTATGCAGTTTTTGTATTTTGCTACAACTAAACTCAGATTTTATACAGGTGTTAAATAAATAAACGTGTCGCGATTTTTCTCATTTTTGTATGATTCTCACGAGGTCAATACAATCTATCCCCTTCATTGACTGGGCACTATAAAGTTTTGATAACTATAGCCTAACCTTTAAAACCTATAGCATGAAATTTTAGTTTTGAGTTTTGGCAACAAATATGCGGCATTTGAAGTATGCTTAAATAACGCTGGATTTAAACTTTCACACAACAAACGATCTAAAACATGTAAAACTTTTTTTATCAAATACACTAGTACGTTTTTTAAAAGAACAAAACTTCTGAAATAAAATACACCCAAAACAGCATAGCTATAGCTCACCTTTTTTAGACAACTTGTACAGTTCTGTACAGTAAACGTTTTCTCTTTCGTTTTCTAACTTGTATTCTATAAAAACAATTTTTTTACCGCTCTTTATTTTTGGAGGGATCTCTGGTTTTGGTTTGCTTTTTTCTTTTGCCTCCCCTAAATTTAGAGTTAAGTTAAGAATAGAACTGCCTTGCCGTGTCCTAGCCTTTCTTTTTCCCTGGCCGGAAACAAATGGTTAGACTGGAACTGGACTAAAAAATCTGCCGTAGTAACCAATAGTAAAATGCCACTTGTTGGATTTTGCCAGTTTCACTGAGCTATCATCACATTAGGGACTTCTATGGTAGAAGAGGAAGGTCCAGGATCTTCATTATTATCATAAACCTTTACAGCAGGTTTGACACTATCTACTACAATATTTGTAGTTTCAAATGCTTGAAGCATGTAGTCGGGGAATACATCGGGGTTTATTGGGTAAAGACCACCAATTTGGAACTGAGTCACAACTCGACCAGGATGAGCTTTGAGCCATTTGGTTATTTCTTGGTCATAATAGGTTTTGAGTGGACCAAAGAGAGGTTGCATCCGATGTGTACAGTGAGCCGACAAACATAAAAGTACAATGCCATTTTCTTTGGCGTACAGAAGAGCGTCAAGATATTTATGACTTGAATGTCCATCCAGAATTAACAAAACCTTCTCGGTGGAAGATGCCTTGGCATATTTTTGGAAATGCTGCAACCATTGTAAAAACACTGGACCCATCATCCAGCCAGTCTCTTGGGGAATACATAAAGTTTCTTCTGGTGTATGGTCAACTAATTCCTCTTTCATATTTTTTTCGTGGAAATATTAGAATAGGTTGAATATAGATCCCGTTAGTGCACATACAACAAACAACTTTCACGTAGGAACCTCGTTCGGCGCTGGTAATTGCACCTACTTGTTTGCTACCGGTTGTAGCAAACACTTTCTGCGGGCGTTGTACGGTAAATAATGCAGTTTCATCTGCATTATATATTTTCATGGGATCAATATTTTCCTTTATCAAAGTGTCCTCTAACACTTTAAAAAAACGTAGCTACTTGAGGTTTATTAAAAGCTTGCGCCCTTGCTGCAGATGTGGCTTTGGGTTTACGCAGTTTTATATCTTGATTTCTTCGGCGAAATCTTAACCAATCTTTTCCAGCGGCCTTTTTCTGGTTATTAAAATGATGTTCAAACCCATTTTTGACTACTAAATTATAAGCTAACTCAAATATGTCCCGTCTCGTTAGTCCGAAGAATCTTAACTCTAGCAGTTTTAAATGTTCAACCAATTGTCTTTCTATTTCTATGGGAAAAGTAGGTTTAAACCTGCATAGTCGTTTTTCGTGTTTTTAAATTTTTATTTTTTTTGCAAGGAATTGATTGAGGTATATTGAAAAGATTTGATGCTGTGAGCCACCCCATTTCACAGCTTCTATTGCCTTTACCATAGAATCTGTATCCCATGATTGCCTATTGGTCGTACTAGACAAAGTGGTATAAAAAGAAACTACAGGTCTTATTGGGTGATCAGGTTTGTGTAGTTTAATAAAAGAGGATAATTTAGGAGGCTATGGGTGCATGATAGTGAGGTATTTCTTTTCTATTGAATTAACTATTGATTTTGAATTTTCTAATGCTAGTTTAATTTGTTTTTGATACTTTTCTGTTGGATCTTTGTTTAGTGTTTCAATAGTTTCATTGAAATTCTATTGTTTTATTATATTCTATTTTATCTATAGCAATAGTAGTATTACCTTTGTCTGCTTTAGTAAACACCATGTTGTTTTCTATTGATTTATTTTTAATTGAAATGGCTGTTTGATTATCTTTGTAATAGGACTTTTTAGTTCCACTAGACACATTGGTAATAGATTTTGCAATGACACTTTTTTTCAATATTGTCGACAGTTTTATTTAATGCTACTTCACATTCTACATCTAAAAATTCTAAAGTTTTCTGATTACTATGTTGAGCTAAGTCGTTTTTAAACTCTTTCTCTAAATGTTGTATCTCACTATTACTGAATTTAGTATCTGTTAAATTTATAAATAAAGAATACTTGAAAACAAAGTTTTCAGTGTTTTATTGTTATATAAAATGAATGAAATCCTGTAAGAAATTACAGGATGCTCAGTTTGGGTTTAGTGTCATTGAAAGACACAATTAAAAACAATAACAGTAAACATTTAACTGCTTAATTTACAATATACAAACTGCATTTTATCAGGAACTGATCCCCAGTAACAAGTTGTAATGAATTATAGTTGAAGTTACCTAGACAGTGAAAATTATATTGTACTCACAAATATAAGTAAATTTAGTTTCTCTAAAAAGCGAAAATGGGGTTATCACCCAGGTGCAAGCTGTACAAAAGAGCTACGGTACACACTTTCGAGACCCCCTGGGCATTAAAATACAAGGTAGGCAATAAAATATGGTCTAATTCAATAATAAAAATATAATCTACAATATTACACAAAAATGTAATCAACTGGAAGTAGATACGAGTAATAATTAACAAGACCTCAATGAAACAGATTCTTGTATCCACACCTCTTGGAAACTAAATCCTAACATTGATCTGAGTTTACCTTGAGATCAAACATAACACAATTGAGAAATTGGAATACTATATTAATACAGGGTATATATGTTATATTTATTATAATAAATAAAAGTATTTGTCTTTACAGATGATGAAGTTTAAGTTGAGAACATTGTTTCAAGAGAGTTGTCTATACTTGTAATACAAATAAAAAAGCAATGTTTTTATTTATTTATATATTATTTACACCTTTTTCTATTTGTTCTAATAAACTTTTTAAGTTAACATCAAATAGTTCACATCTTATGGGCATCTCTAAAGAGTAGAAGGGATTTTTTAGAGCATAATCTGCATATAACTCATATATTCGTCTAAGTAAAACATCAACTCCAGTCTGGGTTCTATCTGAGATTATCATTAATTTAACACCAGTTAGGGTTTGAAAACAGTTTAATCGGAATGTATCAGCTTCAAGAACTTCAATACCAGAAGACTTTTGTTCTGGACTAAGTTGACTCGCTATTGCAAACAGAGGATAAAACATACTTGCTAAAAATATTTTTTCATTGGTTGTCATTTTAGGTCTAGCGAATTGTAGAGTAACAGGATAGTTTTCTTCCTTCTCAATGAATTCTAAAGCATTAACACCATTATCCATTTGTAGTCCAGTAACTGGTATACCATTCACTGAATTTAATACATGACCAACTAAAATAAATCAATAAATACTCAGATATAATACTTAACTAAAATATTACCTTGAATTCCATCTTTTTGACCAAATTCGACTATAATTTTTTTGTTTTCAGAACGTAATTTGATATCTAAGGGGTAAGTAAACTTTCTTTCGGATTCGATTTTTGGGACAACATTATCATAATTAAAAATTAAACCTCCAGACTTTGATACAATATAAATACCGTAAATAACCATTTTTACATTTGTTTTGTTTTAATTATTTGATATTATTATAACCTATTCATTTACAAAACGTCAAACCAAAACCCATGTGAATATAGTTGCATTTACTGACAGAAACAACCTTAAACAACTCTTTCCTTGTCTAAGCAAGGTAACAACAAAGAACGGAGCATTTATATTTAGGTTGCCAGAGGCGGACATCTAATAATTTTTTGTGGCAATTTTAAATAAAAAAAATGTGAAACTGTAGTTTTGCACATTTAACCCTAGAATACGGGACCGTTTTTGCCAAACGTAAATACGGGACTATCATAAATTTAACTATTCCATAGAAAAAAGCCTATATTTTTTACTTTGAATTTTTTATTCATTATATAGAACACAATTAAGATTCTTAGTATATCTTACAAAAGCATAAAATTATGAAACAAACATATTTTGTCGTCGCAGCAAGAGTGTATCTATAAAATTATACACTCCGCCATACGCTCTACTTAGAGGTTTCAGGCATCATAAGGTGAAACACAGATGTACGAAGAAAGACTACCTACAGAGTCTTGAGGTTTGCGGTAGCAAAAGGTGGAGCAGAGCCCCGACCGTTACCCTCCTAGAGCATACGTGCTCTAGGTAGGGCTGTGATCTCTCGACTCCTCCAAGATCCGAAGAATGCCACATTTAAAGGTATTTTAATATTTATATGACATTTTCGGATCCCTTGGCCAATGAAAATTCGAATGAAATGTAAAAGGCGGGGTGATGCGCGCCAAGGTGCGTGTTAGTTGGTCACTAAAGGCACCAGGGCGACAATTTGAGTATTTTTAGGAACATACGGTACAAATATATCCTCGGTATTCTCCGCAAATTGGCTTCTTGCACTCCTTGCAATAGGTGGTGATCATGCGCCTTTTTTGCTTGGACAGTAGAAATAAGTCTTCCTCTTCTTTTCCTGGGCCATATTCTTATCATCTCCTTCAGTTATGTTGAGGATTACAGCTGTCTTGGCAAATATTTCGACGTAAACTTGCAGTGTTGTATCTGTTTAGCATTCATGGTTTTGCAAGACAAAGGCTTAACTCAATCATATATTGATATCTGGAGATATTTTCGCATCAACCTCGCTATCGGAGCCAGAGGATTCAGCTTCCAAATTGTCCTGTTCCCAGTCACTACCACTACCTTCAAACGGGTCTGGATAACTGTCTTCCCACTTTTCGCGGATAAAAACTTTTTATTTGACATCCTAATAAGAAAAACGCAACAAGTATATTATGTAATGAGAATGAAAAAATAATTTACCTTAATTTTTTGTTATTGAAACACTCAAAATTAAGCTACAAACAATAAGAACCAGCTGATTTATTATATGACGTAAACACGGGACTTTCGTAAAAATTACGAACCAAGCGACGAAATATGGTCTTATAATTGGAAATTATAACAACCGTCTGCGACACTATCAAACTCGATGCTAATCAGGAAGATACTCAATTGTTAAAATAAACGAGAGTGGGCGAAAATGCCCAATGTATTTTGATCGTCGTCAAATTTACGAATGACGCGTATTCAAGGGTTAATAAAGAACTTTAATACATAATGTTTTTAAAATGGTTCTAATACTGGTATTTTTCTTTTATTAACTTCCTCTTTTTATGACTTTAAAATATATAATATGTCTGAATTGTCAAGCACAAATGATTGTAATAAAAATTATATTTTTATATGTCCAAGACATGCTATGTATTTTCTAATAAACGAAATTAAAATCTTTTTTTGTCAACATCCCGAGTAGTTAAAGAAAAATCGTATATCAAGCAACCAAAAAATTTCAAAATATATTCCAATGTACAATTAATCCTTTTGTGACGCCGCTGTACGGTAGATTCTTCTATCACAAAATATACAAAAACTATTTGACAAACGTCTCTACTCATGCATGTTCTACCCTTATCTAATATATTACTTCACAGGTTTTCTTGTCTACACGGGTAGTAATATCACGGGAATGACAATGACAAATGACATTTAGATAAAAATAATTTTTTTGTTTACAAATGTCTTTATTTTAATAATTTTATTATTGCAATTTTGCAATTACACTTTACGGGTTGTGACTGAAAAATTAATTTATTAATAATGGAGTATGATTATTCTAACTCAAATTTTAACAATAGCAATTTTATGCAGCGAAATAATTTCCAACGTCCGACCGGGAAATATAAACAAAAGCTTATGGTATTAAAGCGAAATATTAGAGAATTTGTTCATGTGAGTTTATTCTATTAAATAAAATATAATTTTTCGTTTATAATACAGGTCGATATTATACACAATTGAATTTTAGGAAAATGCGGCATTGGTAGACGAATTAGAGGAAATCCAGATGAATATAATTATTAAAAAAGAAGAGCGGAAGTTTCTTTTAAAGAAATTATGTGAATATGAACCTCAAGTAGCTTTAGAAGTACAGAATGCAGCTAAAGACGGGCCTATAAGTCGACCAAGTGTAACCCATATCTCCTCCAACAATTCAGTTTCAGAAAAGAAATCTAAAAAGAAAGTGCATATGAGTTCTTCAGGTACATTTAGCTATTACAGAACATAATAGTATCATTGTATCAAAATCTTTTTAACAAGAACTGTATCATTATTATTATTTAATCTCACTGCTCTCATACTTTCCATTTGTATCATAATATCATAAAACAGGCAGAGAAGATGATGTTGATATGATAATATGAAAAGCTCAACATGCTTAGCCCCGTTTGGAGGTCTTGCTATTATTCACAAAGACAAAGATAAAATATTTCAGTTGAATGTTAAGTCTGTTCACCATCAGAAACGAAGATCTATTACATTTGACTGATCAGATGGAAAAGAGAATGAAATAATATCCAGAAGGTGGTGTTGGATCTGCCGCACACTTTGTAAAATTAGCTCCTGCATTACAAAAACTGCCCTAGAGTGGAATCTGCAAGAAAAAAGGAAAAGAGAATGTCAGCACAAACTTTGAGAATAAAAATTTTGAACTAGACGAGTGGAAAGTCTTGAAATAAAGTGCTTAGCGCAAAAATCAGACTCAATGGTTATATCTTTATTTTATACATCTAACCATATTTATGGCTAGTTCATATTATTACTTACAAAATTTTTATATATTATTCTTAAAGTGACATATCAAATTTTGAGCATAGGCAGTTCTCCTGTGATTTAGAAATAAATAATTACACTTAAAAAATATTGTTTCCTTAACAATTTTATCTCTGTTTTTAGATAGGCGTTCTTCCAGTTTAAAGTCAAGAAAAAGTTCATCGAAAGGCAGAAAGAAGATTATTCAGCCTGTTCCTGTTGATCATAATGGCAAACCAATATTTCCTATCGAATTAGGCCGGCTGACAGTGCATTCATTGGGAGAAGTAGTTCATACTAGGTCCGAATTTCATACTGAAAATGCAATTTATCCAGTAGGATATGTTTCAACAAGGATATATGGTAGTTTAAAGGATCCAACACAGAAATGTGTTTACACTTGCAAGATATCAGATGCCAATGATATACCGAGGTGAGAACTGTTAATATACTTTTTTATCCATTGTGCATTTTATAAAATGTAATTTTTTTTATTCATTAGATACCTAAACAAATATATGAGAAAACTTTTCTATCCAGGTTCATTGAGCCTTAGCCTTTTTTAGAGGCTAATGCTGATAATATTTTAATTTTTCATTTTGTTGTTTGATCACATGGCTTCCATCATAACTCTGTCTTTGGTGAGTGTTAGATGAATCTACTTCCAGTCATTCTTGCTGGTTCCAATCCCAGATAAATGGGGAGATTTGTAGAGACAGGTCAGCTCCCTGTCACACATTCAAAACTCTACCAGAAAACCTAATGAAAAAAAGCGTTCAATTAAACTGCTCATTTTAGAACAGACTAACTTACTGAGAGAATTACCAATTGTGGTACATAGAAACATAGGAAACAAAGAATTCAATATCTGTTATAAATGTAGTCTTATGGTATAAGATAATAAATAATGTGAACAGAAAAGAGCATATATTATTATAGCCAGTACCATAAACAAACCACACAAAATGAAAATGAGGTGCTGTTGAAAATATAAAAAATTAAAATTTGAAATGTCTTTTTTAACTGTCCAACATTCACTTTGGTATATCATAGTGAGTCTTGGTAGTTTCAGAGAATTTTTCTCTCAAATTCAGTGGAATCTTACTGTCACACAACACACCACCTGTTTTCTTCTAGTTCATCCATACCATCCTAATTCTACTGCATGCATCTCCATGTATTTCCAAATTACTCTGTATTACCCATTCTAGATAGTTAAAACTATTACTTTTTACAATCATCTTACCATTCAAAGCTATCATTTTATTTATAGTAATTTCACCTTTAAATGAACAGAATACTCTGTTTTTGTCCTACTATCTTTTAAATGTTCTTTTTAATACTACTACTATCTTTTAAATGAATATATCTTTTTAAATGTTGTCGGTCAGATAGCTCAGCGGGCTGTGCGGCTGCCTCTCATTCGCTTCACTGTCGAATGGTTTAGTGGATGTGGGTCGAGCCCAAGCTCGGTGTACAGAAAACAAATAGTCTAACGCAGCAGTTTAAAATTCTAGATGAATCTGCGGCTTAGACTAGGATATGCTGGGTTCTGATCGGCCTATGGTGGAGCAGTACGGCAAAAGATAAGGGCTTGCGGCTCGGTGATACTCCTCCATAGATCCCTACCGGACGGGCGTAACGCCTAAAAAACCGGATATATATATATATATATATATATATATATATATATCTTTTAAATGTTTTTACTCAAGAGCTTGTCACCACTGTTCCAGTTTTTATTCTAAATCACTTTCAGTATTACCTACTAATACTACATAATCAGCATACATTAAGCACCAGGAGCGAACATTTTGATGACCTCTTGTAGGCTTTTGCCTCTTCAAAGTATGGCTGCACCCCTTTTTTTGTTGCGGAGGATGTGGATAGTGTCTTTATAAACATACATTTGTATTTAGGTGAAAAATTTTGGTAGGTGCTAGGGTAGGGTTATGGAGTTTTAGCTCTCAGTACTCGCTCAGGTTGGTGTTAGTGACCATTTACAAATTTACAAGTTAGTTACCATTTGCAAGTTGAAGTATGTTAGTTAAGTTTTTGTTCTAAATCCCTTTCAGCATTTCCTACTAATACTACATAATTAGCATACCTTAAGCACCAGGAATGTTACCCAGTGGTTTTTCTTTTATTTGATTGAACACTATTGAGAATAAATAAACACTAAACACTGAGCCCTCAAGAAATCATACTTTCACATTAAATTCATTAAAGTAATTTATTGTAATTTTATCTGACTCATTTATATTGACAATTGAGACATATATTATACATTTTAAAGAAGACAACTTTGCTAGTATTGCTGAGTGGCATTCCTGGGATGACTTTATTGCAAGATAATTTATTTAATTACATGAAATCAACTTTAACTTGAGAATATCTGTTAAAAAAATCGTAGCATGTGAATCGTCTATAAAAATACAACCAAATGCCACAATGACAGTAAAATTCTACTGTTAGTGATTCCATAATAATACCTATGGCCTATAACCTATGAACTTCTCGCCACAGGATCATTCTTCATCTTTTTGTGCGTGTGGAATAATGTATCTACATGGAAACTGGTTAAAAAGGGCCCAAGGTAGAGAGGAGTAGCAAAGACTTAGTTGGCAATCATAATCGATATCTTCAGCAATTTTTTTGGCCTCTTGCAAGAGAATATGCAGTTAGGGGCTGCAGTCCAGAGGTACACCCAACTCTGTCTGTCTCTCTGTTTATTTTAAAAATTTTAGTTGTTTATAGATTAATATTTGCTTATGGAAAGTTTTTAATTAAAATTAATGAATAAGCACTTCCGTTATTCATGATTATTTTTCTTTTTTCAATTAATGAAATCTCCAACAGTAAGTTAGTTTTAGCTATTAATGAGGAGTGATAGGAATTTTTAAGCTGACATCGGCTCCAATGACTTCCTCAAAATATTCCCAAGGTCAATGAATCGACTATAGTAAACAATGCAACAAATTATAAATATTATTCAAATATGTTCTTATCATTATGCATTTTGTTTTAGATTTGAAATAGCATCTGATGACCACTGCCCTCCAATTACTGGCGACACTCCTGATGTGTGCCATTCTCTCCTTTTGCAGAGTATTAATGATTCCTTATCACTGAACGTAGTTAGTACAAGGCCGAGAGGTCACGACTTCTTTGGTCTGTCTCATCCAACAGTTCTTCACCTCATTCAGAGCTATCCAGGAGTTCGAAGATGTGCAAACTATAAGTGGATTAAGTTTGAAGTTTCCAAAAATTGTGACATGTATACAGATGACAACGACGCGGGATTAAGCTATGAATATTTGCAAAGAAGTATAAACTTTTGTAAATATAAAATGGCGCCCGATGTTTTACAGAGACCTGATGATTTTTTAGATTCTAAGGATAACTTGGTACTTTTTTAATAAATTGTATACAATAATGTTGTGATTTTTTTTATGCAAAGTAACTCGAAAGAAAACTTCAAATTTTTTCAGTTTGTGGTCGCAGGGTAAAACTTCTTAGTCACGTTTTCACAATATTGAGTAAGTTGACCAACGGATAGGTGACCATCCATATTGGTGAAAAAAAAAATCTGAATCCGGTATAATGATTAATATTATACACAAAATAATTGACGGAAATAATAAATTAAGTCAAATCTTGCTTTTTCATATTGTGTTAAAATAATATCAGTGACATAAGAACTTATTCCATAGATAAATAATATAATTCTCTCATGAAAATTTGAGCAAAAGTTCGTATGTCAGTCAATTTAAGAACTTATGATCGGCTATAAAAATTGCCGCAACGTTGCATCAGTATCACATAAGAATTTTTAAACGATAATTCGCACTTTCTGTTTAGAAGTTGCTTATTATTAAATTAAAAGTTTGTATTTTATCTATACTTGTTTATAATGAATGGTACTAGTGGAGCCACAGGGTACGACTTCTACGGACTGTTTATTGGGTGCTCAACATTTTTTTATGTAATGTCCATTTAAAATATGTCTTGTTTTTAAAAACCACTGCCATTGTACACCATGAAACAACAAGAAATGACACGAATGACAACCGTTTCATATGTCCAAGAAATGTAATTCTAACCAGTGTTGACACAATTATACAAAATATGCTTTCTTATGAAAAATAAAAATTAACAGATTTTTAATTATCTTCTTCGCGTGCCATAACAGAATTATCCGATGTTGGCGATCACCATTTTAAATGCTTCTCGACATTCTGCAATATAAAATAATTGTCCTGCATTTGATATCCTAGTCCAGAGTTTCCCAGACTTATCTAAAGCGCGACCCCTTTTTGCTAAAAAATTTGTTCGCGACCCCCTAATTCCCCCCACTCATTTATACAATATTATTTGACAGAAATAGCGTGCCTAATTTACAATTATCTGATGGTTTCTCAAATTTAATTTTACTTTACTGTTTAAGTTTAAATCAAAAACAATTATTTTATTTTAATGCAAATATTTTAATGATTGCGATCTGTCCCACTAGTAATTAGTAGTAGGTACTTCTGCCAGAATAGCATTTACAATATAAATAAATAATAAGAAGTCGACTGCACATTGTACACCGCGACATATTAGCTTGTGTCTACATCGCAAAACTCTTCCATGATAATCGCGAAAGCGCTCGCTACTAGATGGCACTCTGGAACGTTCTCGTAGCCTCGTTTTGGCTTTATATAAGCGGCGATGCGCAACGAAACCTCAGTTCGAATCCAAACAGCCTATGGTGGCGAACGCGGTGTTGAGTAATGAGTAAATATTTTACGACTTACGTATTCCCGTTTACGTATTTACGTTTACGATAAATTATAAATTATGGATATGTTTTTAAAAAGAAGTGCAGAACCATCTACGTCTGAAAGTGGCAGTAGCAGCAATAAAAAGAAAAACAGATTCTACATTGATGAATATCTTAAATATGGTTTTACCGTTATTTCCAATAAACCACAATGTGTTATTTGTGGACAAATCTTGTCAAAAGAAAGCATGAAGCCATCAAAGTTACTTCGACATTGAAATAGCAAACATCTAGATAAAAAAGACAAGCCCGTAGAATTATTTGAAAGAAAGCTGAACGGCCTTCACAAACAGTAAGACAGTTTTCCCTTGGTAACCACTACTAATAAAAAAGCATTATTAGTAAGTTGCTTTTCGTGTTGCCAAAACTAGTAATCCGCACACAATTGCTGAAAATCTGATTTTTACAGAAGCTGTTGAAATGGTACATATAATGTGTGAGGAAAGAGGCTGCAAAATTAAATACAATACCTCTGTCAAATAATACCATCCAAAGAAGAATTAGTGTTATGGCAGAAGATATTCAAGCGCAAGTTGTGGAAAATCTTAATAAATGCACGTACTTCTCTCTTTAAATGGACGAATCCACAGATATATCTAACTGTGCCCAATTCATTACGTTTGTAAGATATGTGGGATTTGTGGGGTAAATGTATTGCTATATACACAGATGGCGCTAAAGCTATGACAGGACATAAATCTGGTCTTGTCGTCAAATTACAAGAAATAATGCCTAATGCCAAATGGAGACATTGTTTTTTACATCGAGAAGCTCTTGTGTCTAAAGCTTTACCACCTGAAATGGACTGTGTTATGAAAACCATTATTAAAGTTGTAAATTTCATTAAAGGAAAAGCTTTGCAGACCTGTATTTTTAGAAAAATTTGCAAAGACATGGGTGCTTTATTTGAAAATCTTCTCTATCAACGTCCTAAAAAGAGTATTTCACTTAAGAGCGGAGCTTTTAATGTATTTGAAATTATTGTAATTTACAAGGTCGCGACATTAATATAATTACAGCCACAGATAAAATTAAGGCGTTTCTAAGAAAAATCGATTTATGGTCGACCTCACTTGGCAAAAAACAACTCGATTCATTCCAGTACCTTCAGGAAAATGTATCCAATTACATTGCTACAAATTTTGAACAAGTTTTTGCTGACATGCATGTTACTTTGCTCGATTTAAAACAACAGCTCTGTGATTATTTCCCCGAAGAAATTCAAAACAGTTACGACAGTTGCAGATGGATACTAAATCCGTTTTTAGCCGATTCCTTTCAGCATGTTGAAATACCAATAAACATGAAAGAAAAAATTATTGAAATATCAAGTGATGTAATGTTGAAGCTCCAATTTTTTTCCCAGAACTCGGACCAATTTTGGACCAAAAAGATGCAGGAATACCCCCAGTTGGCGAGTGAAGCTATAAAATGTTTGGTTCCATTGGTAACATTATATTTGTGTGAGTTAAGTTTCTCGTCTATGACTATCTTACAAGAGTTAGAAATCGTCTCGTACTTGAAAATGATATAATTGTGTGTGTCTAAAATACACAGCCTAGATTTGAAAGATTAGTTTCACAGAAACAGGCGCATAGCTCTCATTAAGATTATGATTTTTGACTTTGTTTTACTCTTTTATTTTTACGGACTTTAATATTTAGTTTTATATTTCGTCTGATAGTTAATTGTTAATTTCTATTTACGGCGTTGTTAAAATAAAAATACATGATCTAACAAAGTGGTGCTTTTGTCTTATTTTGGAAATATTCGGCGACCCCGCTAGTACCTCATGTCAACCCTACAGGGGGTCGCGACCCCCTTTGGAAAACACTGTCCTAGTCCATTCACGAATGTTCCGCAACCAAGAAAACCGTTTCCTTTCTAAACCTCTATGACCTTCTATTTTGCCTTTAAGGATCAGTTGTAATATTTTATATCGACTTCCCCTTACTATATGTCCCAGATAAGACATTTGTCGATGGTTAACAGTCTTTAGCAGCTCTCTATCTTTGTTGGCGCTCCTTAATACTTCTTCATTAGTTTTCCTTGCTGTCCAAGGTATCTTCAGCATTCGTCAACCACATTTCCAATGGTTCAATTTTGTTCATGATCGATACTTTTAGCGTCCACACTTCTGCACCATACAAAAGTACGGACCAAACATAGCACTTAACCATTCTTTGTCTGAGTTCTAAACCGAGATGATTATTGCAAAGAATTGACTTAATTTTCATAAAAGTAGTTTTAGTCATTGCTATTCTACGTTTTTTCTCGAGAATTTTCCTCTGGGGGGGTTTTGGTTGGGCACTGAAATTTTTTTATGCTACCTCCACCATTTTAAGTCCTTAAAATTTGTAAATAACACTGTCGGAATAGGGTCCTGGGGTGTTTTAACGTCCAAAGCCCCCCTTGGGTGCGCCACTGCCCAAATATGTCATTTTGTGAACTTGGACTCCGTTTAATTGAAGCTTTACATCGGGAATGGGGTCACGACTAAATACTAAAAATTTGGTTTTGTTTGAGTTTATTTTAACGCCCATTTGCTCTCCTACCTCGTGAATACGATCAAGCAGAATTTGGAGACCTTCAATATTATCTGACAGAATACTGTATAGTCTGCATATCTAATCACATTAAGTAGTTCGCCGTTCATTTTTATTCGATATGGTTGTCTCTCAAGTGCTTTTTTAAATAACTGGTCTGAGTAAACATTGAACAATTTTGGCGACAAAATGCAACCTTGTCTGGCTCCTCGTATGGAGATTTCATCGGTGTGGCGCAAAAAGTGCCTCCCTGGTTCCCATAGCATTTCTAAAACCAAATTGGGTATCTTCGAGATCTTCGCATATGCGTCTAAATTCTGTTGTGAAGTATTAGGAAAATTTTAAAAGTGTGGCTCATATAGCTAATTAATCGATATTCTGAACGTTTTCTCGCATTGTGTTGCGACAAAGATGGATTTGAGATCTGTGGGAATCACTCCGGTGCTATATATTGAATTAAAAAGTCTTACTTTTATGTTATCATCCTCTATTAGTTTCAGCAACTCAGTTGGTGTATCATCTGAACTACACGTTTTTCTAATTTTAGGATTATTTATAGCGTGCTCTACCTTGCATTTAATAATTTCTGGGCCGTCGGTGCAGTTTTGGTAGAATTCGGCAATATTATTCCTGTCATCTTCAAACAACTCTGATATATACAGCTGCCATTATTTTCTTATTTCGTGCTCATTTACAATAATTTTGTTATTATTGTCAAGGAGTACAGAAGGAACTCGTTTTTTAAATATGTTACTCATTTCTTTTAGTTTTTTGTCAACATTGTGAATCATTGTGTGAAGTCTTAATTTTAAAGCCTCAAGTATAACGCATTTGAAATATGCCTAAAAACGCTGAATTTAAACTATCGATGTAAAACGTTTAAAACTGTTTCTTTTCGATTGTACAGGTAAATTTTTTAAAACTGCACAACTTTAACTACAAATTTCACCCAACAGTCATCGTGTAAGTATTTTCCGTAACGTGCGATCGTTTGTAATATGAAAGTTTAAATTCAACGTTTTTTAGACATATTTTAAATGCCCACACCTGTTGCCAAAAATGAGA